GGAAGAGCAGCAGCAGCAACAACAACAAAAACAACAAGAGCAGCAGCAGCAGCAGCAGCAACAGCAGCAGCAGCAGCAGCAGGGTTTACCGAGGGTTTAACATAGAGAGTAATTTGGGGTTTACTAGCGAGTTGTATTTTAGGGTTTACGTCTGAGGGTTTAGGGGAGACAAAAACCCTCAATGCTCTCCCTAAACCCTCAACACATAATAAATCATACCTGCGTATACACCCCAACTATAAAAGGAGACAAATAAGGAGACAAAAAAAGGAGACAAAAAAGGAGACAAAAAAGGAGGCTGTATTATTTACCTATTAGCTGGTACCTCTATGTTAAGGAGGAGACACAAAAAGAGACAAAAAAGGAGACAAGAAAAGGAGACACAAAGGAGACACAAAGGAGACACAAAGGAGACACAAAGGAGACACAAAGGAGACAGAAAAGGAGACAAAGGGGGACAAAAAGGAGAGAAAAAGGAGACACTTATTCTTACCTATTAGCAGGTACCTCTATCTTAAGTATAGTGTCTCCTTCTTGTTGAATAATTTCGTCTAATTCAACACCAAAAGAAAAACATAAAGAATTCAACTCCTCCTCGCCTGCACGCAAACCCTAAACCCTAAACCCTAAACCCTAGACCCTAGAGAGTCAGGGTTTTTTTTCCTGTTCATGCTCCTGCTGATGCTGTTGCTGTTGCCGTTGCTGCTGCTGTTGCTGCTTTCTTTCTTTTGCTGCTGGATATGTGCAAGATATGCTGTTGGAGATCTAAACCCTAAACCCTCATGATGATACACCATAAACCCTAAACCCTAAACCCTAGACGGACTGTATTTTCTGCCAAGGCGCTCATAGAGCTCCTCAGCGACGACGGAGACAGTTGGCATCACGGAGGAGACAGGAGACAGATAAGGAGAAAGAAGGGACGAAGGAGAAAGAAGAAGAGGGTTATTAATAACCTAAACCCTAAGGGTTTAGGGTTTTAAGTGATTAGGGTTTACTAGGGTTTAGGGTTTACGGGTCTTTGCTTCGCCCCCCCACAGCCCTGCTCTATGCCTTGAAATAAACCACAAATTAGGGTTTAGGGTTTAGGGTTTAGGGTTTATATATTAGGGTTTACAAGTTTATAACACCATAAGGGACTAACGACCCCTAGGCAAGTGTCTCTTCTTGGGGACAGAGGGGGCCCCTCTGCGGGCTGCATGCGCGTGTTGCTGCTGCTGCTGTTGCTGCTGCTGCCTTTAGCCCTCCTAGTGTCTCCTCAGCTTCCTTTCTGCTGTTGCTGCTGCTTTGCCGTTGCTGCTGCTGTTGCTGCTTTCTTTCTTTTGCTGCTGGATATGTGCAAGATATGCTGTTGGAGATCTAAACCCTAAACCCTCATGATGATACACCATAAACCCTAAACCCTAAACCCTAGACGGACTGTATTTTCTGCCAAGGCGCTCATAGAGCTCCTCAGCGACGACGGAGACAGTTGGCATCACGGAGGAGACAGGAGACAGATAAGGAGAAAGAAGGGACGAAGGAGAAAGAAGAAGAGGGTTATTAATAACCTAAACCCTAAGGGTTTAGGGTTTTAAGTGATTAGGGTTTACTAGGGTTTAGGGTTTACGGGTCTTTGCTTCGCCCCCCCACAGCCCTGCTCTATGCCTTGAAATAAACCACAAATTAGGGTTTAGGGTTTAGGGTTTAGGGTTTATATATTAGGGTTTACAAGTTTATAACACCATAAGGGACTAACGACCCCTAGGCAAGTGTCTCTTCTTGGGGACAGAGGGGGCCCCTCTGCGGGCTGCATGCGCGTGTTGCTGCTGCTGCTGTTGCTGCTGCTGCTGCTGCTGTTGCTGCTGCTGCTGCTGCAGCTTATTTATCAGCACTACATTGTCTTCTATTTAACGCATTTCTTTGTCTGAGCAAATAACAACAGCAGCATTAGCAGCAATACACCACACAGCAGCAGCAGCAGCAGCAACAGCAGCAGCAGCAGCAGCAGCTCGCCAATCCTTTGTTGAGGCTTTTCTTCTTGTTGTGTTATTTCTTCTCTTTATTTCTGTTTATATCTGCTGCTGCTGCCTTTAGCCCTCCTAGTGTCTCCTCAGCTTCCTTTCTGCTGTTGCTGCTGCTGCTCCTGCTGCAGCAGCTGCTGGGGGCCCCTTAACATAGGGGCCCCTTCTATGGAGCCTACCTGCCTCTTCCTTCCCCTGTGAGGGGCCCCCAACATTCTCTAACTCTCGACAATACCACATGACTGTTGCTGCTGCTCAAGGGGCCCCCGAGGGGCCTCAGGGGGCCCCCAAGTTGGGTTCCCAGGAGGTCTCCGCTGGGGGCCCCCTTGGGGGCCCCCAGGGGCCCCCCCCGGAGGGGGAGACATTCTTTGGGTTAACAACTGCGTTACGACCTGATGGACGACTAAGCTCTACTGCCCTAAGACCAATTAAAGTTGAATTGGGGCCCCTCAAGGGCCCCCATGGCAGTGCACGGTGCACGCAGGTATGCTGCTGCTATGGCTGCTGCTGCTGCTGCTGTTGTTTGTGCTGTTGCTGCTGATGGATATGATAATGCTGATGAGGTAGCGGGGAGAGGGATGCTGTGGGCAGGGAGCAGCAGCATGTGTGCTGCAGTTTATTGTGTTGCTGCTGCTGCTGCTGCTGCTGCATGTTTATTAATTGTATGTGTATATGGGGTTTGCTGCAGGGTTTAACAGTTGCTGTAGCAACAGTAGTGGGGCCCCTCGATGCCAAGGGGGCCCCCCCAACAGAGGCAGCAATAAGTGTATACGTAAAGACCCTATCGCAGCAGCCAACAGGCCATCGTACATCTGCTGCTGCTGCTGCTGCTCGTGCTGCTGCTGCAGCAGGAGAGAGTCTAATTGCTCAGAGGCAAGCAGCAGCAGCAGCTTATGCTGCAGCAGATAAAGGGGGCCCCCAGGGACCCGCTGCCTTAGCAAGAAAATCCTTGGATTGGGATAGATGTATGGAGTATAGACTGCAGCAGCTGCTGCAGTCAGCTGTATATACACCCCAATTCCCCCGCTGCAATATACAATTTGTTGTCTTGCTGCAGCAAGATGACGGCAGCAGAGAGTCTTGCTGCTGTAATGCTGCATTTGCTGCTGCAGTGCATGCAGGTCTTCCCCTTAGATGGAGGTGTTGGGCCCTATGTTATGCCTCTCCACCCCTTCCTGTGGGGCCCCCCCAGGGGGGCCCCCAAGGGGCCCTACCATGGGCCTCGGAGGGCACAGTATATCTGGACCCTACGGGGGAAGAGGAAGTAGCAGCAGCAAATGTAGAGTGTGTTATTACCGACCCCACCACTGGGTACCTTGTAGGGTCCTTCTCTTGCATGCGTTTAGATGCCCCTAGCCGTTTTACTCCTGGGGGGGCCCCCGAGCCCCTGGGGGCCCGGGGGGTCTATGGGGCCCCGAAGGGGGCCCTTAAGGGTCTTGCTACTGCAGCAGCAAGAGTCCTTGATGAGAAGGTACGAAAGGAAGTAACAGAGCTCCTAAGGGTCTCCACGGCTAGTTGGGGCCCCCAACCGCAGTAGTAGTTGCAGGGGGGGCCCCCTCGAGGGGGCCCGTTTAATGTTAGGAGGCCCCCCTAATGTTAGGGGGGCCCCTACCCGAATACGGTTGTTTAACATTCTTTGGGGCCCCTTGGGTACTAGGGGCCCCTGTCTCTTTTCTGTTTAAATAGGGTTTAGTAGAGAGACAGAGGGAGACAAACCCTAAACCCTAATGTTGCTAGCAGAACTAAGGGGAGTAAACCCTAAACCCTAATGTTGGCTAGAGGGAGAGACACAGAGACACACAAAAGGAGACACAAGGAGACAGACAGTAGAATAGAGACAAAAGGAGACAGACAGACACAGACACATAAAAGGAGACACAAGGAGACAGACAGACACAGACACATAAAAGGAGACAAAAGGAGACAAGAGAAGCTGTCTAGGCTAACAAAAAAGGAGACAGGAGGAATAAAAGGAGACACTTGCTGCCTATTAAGAGACAAAAGACGAAAAGGAGACAACTTTAGGCAAAAGGAGACACATTAACAGCGGACTCCTCTAGACAAAACAAAAAGGTCTAGGGGGCCCCCTATGTCCCTTAACATAACAAACATGGGGCCCCCGTGGTATACATACACATGCCCCTCAACATGCTGCCTTGGGGGGCCCCCTCCCTTGAGGGTAATACTATAACTGTGGGGCCACAGGGGCCCCCCCGTGCCATGCAAGAAATGGGGGGCCCCACAAACCTAAACACTAAACCCTAAACCCTGTGTTATTAGGGGCTCTTTTCTTGGGTACGACGGGGGCCCCTCTCTCCCCCAGGCCTCCCTAGAGTAGGGTTGCCTCCAGGGGGCCCCTCCCTACAGGCCACCTAGGGGCCCCTTAACGGGGGCCCCCAGGGGTCCCTCCGAAGGCAACTTAGCTGCGGCTAACAGATCTGCTTCTTGCCTTTTTCTCCTTCTGCTTCTCAGGAGAAGCAGCCCTGCAAAACACCAGCAGCAGCAGCAGCAGGAAGGGGTTTCTCGCCATGGCAATAGACCATGAGGGGCCCCCTCACAAGGGCTAACGAGAACTAACGAGGGCCCCCATGAGGGGCCCTGGGGTCCCCCCAGGGGGGGCCCCTAGTTAGGGTTTTGTATTTTCTTACCTCTTTGGGCTTCTGCTGCGAGTTCTGTCTCTCTTCTCTGAGGACACAAAAGGAGACAAAATTAATACTTACAGCTGCAGCAACCAGCAGCAGCAGCAGCAGCAGTATCGGGTGACCACAGCTGCAGCAGCATGTGGCAGCAGCTGCTGCACCTAGTAGAAGCAGCAGCAGCAACAGCAACAGCAACAGCAGCAGCAGGCGCCTCACTGTTCTCGCCGTCCCCCCCAGTTGCACTCTCTGCCTGCTTCTGCTCCTTCTTTGCTGCAGCAACAACAGCAGCAACAGCAGCAACAGCAGCAGCAACATGAATAGCAGTTGTAGCTATCGAGACGATAGAGGTCTCGCTAAGATGCGAGGCAAAACCCTATACGTATATCCTAAACCCTAAACCCTAGACTCGCCAACGGCTGCCCGTCTCTGTATCAGTGTTTAGAACCAGAAGCTGTATTAGGGTTTAGGGTTAGGGTTTAGGGTTTAGCGTTAGGGTTTAGGGTTTACCTTGGTGGCGTTCGTGTGTCTTGGAAGAGAGCTCAACCCTCAGCGTCTTGCCGTCTAGCACGCCCTGCAGCAACCCAGAAACCCTAATTAGGGTTTATTAGTGTTTATTAGGGTTTAGGGTTTAGGGTTTGTTACGCCGTGCATTTTCGGCCTCTACTTGAGTATTGAATTCAAAGTATTCATGTCCTTTAGGAATTCTATTTATTATAGTGTATTAATGTATATTAGTGTTAAAAAGTGTTTATTAGGGTTTAGGGTTTAGGGTTTAGGGTTTAGGGTTTAGGGTTTCTTACTCCATGTAGGTGCCTCCTAGCATTTTCGGCCTCAACCTGTGTATCGAACTCAACGTATGCATATCCTTTAGGAATTCCTGCCTTTTTATCTATGGCGACGTCACAAGAACGAATAACTCCATATAGACCAAATATTTCCCTTAGATGGCTCTCCTTTACGTTACGAGATAAAGAAGATACATTTAATGTACAAGAACGATCACGACGCATCTTCGTAAGGGTTTAGGGTTTATAAGGGTTTAGGGTTTGACAGGGGGAAGGAGAGGAGAAGAATGATGGGCGAGGAAGGGGGGGGAAAAGAAGAGATGGAGAAGAGGTACAGGTGGGGAGAGAGAGGGTTAGGGTTTACGAGGGTTTAGGGTTTAGGAGGGTTTAGGGTTTAAAGGGGGGAAACATAAGACATACAGGCAAACACTGCCGCTGCACCAAACAAACTTTGGGTAAGCTAAGGCACAACTCCCACCCAAAATGCTGCTTAAGCAGCAAATTAGGGTTTAGGGTTTAGGGTTTAGGGTTTAGGGTTTAGCCAGTGAGAAGGAGAGGAAAAAAAGGGCACCGTGAGGTGTGAATTTGCGCAATCACAAGTGGGGCGAAAGAAAAGCAAAACAATTGATGTTTTACAATTTAGTGTTTAGGGTTTAGGGTTTAGGGTTTACGGTTTAGGGCTTCTCCTCAGGGCCCTTTACTCGTGCATGCAACAGTGGATGTACAGCGCGTAGGTGGGCCCCCCTTTGGGGCTTTGTTTCTAATTGGGAAAAGTTCTTTATTATTTCTCTTAGTTGTTCTTATGTCTTCTTTTTCATATTTAGGGTTTAGGACTTAGGGTTTAGGGTTTAGGGTTTGTAGTTGCCCGCTCATCCTAGCCCAGGGGCCCCCAGTGCCTGCCGCTCGCTGCTTCTTTGATGGGGCCCCTCTCTCCTCCAGGACATATCATGCCCTTGCTGCCACCGAAAGGGTTTAGGGTTTATTGCTTAGGGCGTTGCGCTTAGGGTTTAGGGTTTAGGGTTTGACGGGATCCTTTTACTCAGCTATGTCCTGAGCATGCCTGTACCCCAAGGCACAGGGGTACCCCAGGGTGTACCTGGGGGCCCCCCCTCTCATCCCTCACCATCAGGGGGCCCCCCTCTACCAACTGTACCCCCACCGTTGGGCTTGCATCCTGGGGGCCCCTCTCCTGGGGCCCCTCCTGCTGCGGCTTCTCCTGCTGCTGCTGCTGCTCCTCGTGTTGCTCCACGGGTACCCCCTGCTGTGCCCCCACCCAGGCCAAAGCCTCCTCCGCCTCTTAGGCAGCAGAAGCTGCAGCAAAAGCAGCCGCAGCCGCAGCAGCAGCCGCAACAGCAGCAGCAGCCGCAGCAGCAGCCTCAACAGCAGCAGCAGCCGCAGCAGCAGCCGCAACAGCAGTCACCGCAGCAGCAACCGCATCCAGTGCAGCAACAGCAGCATCAGCCGCAGCAAGTGCAGCAGCAACTGCAGCAGCAACTGCCTCAAGTGCAGCAATTGCAGCAGCAACAGCAGCAGTCGCGTCAGACTTCTCCGCAGCAGCGTGGTCAGCAGCGACAACAACAACAACAGCAGCAGCAGCAGCAGCAACAAGCAGGGCAGCAGCCGCAGCAGCTACCAGTGTCTGCATATCCGCAGCGACAGCAGCAGCAATCAAAGCAGCAGAGAGGCGGTGGGGGTACAAATGGTGGGGGCCCCCGTGAGGGTAAAGGGTCCCGTCAGCGGTCGGGTGGTCATGGGGGCCCCCCATCAAAGAGGAAGCGTGGGTCCGGCAAGCACGGTGGCAGCAACAGCAGCAGCAGCAGCAGCAGCAGCAATACAGGTCATGGTCATGGTGGTGGTCCTCAACATCATCATCATCAACAGAAGCAGCAACAACAGCAGCACCAGCAGCAGCACCAACAGCAGCAGCAGCAACAGCAGCAGCAGCAGCAACACTATCGTAGTGTAGTAAAGATGACGAGTAACGAATTAGGGAGAAGAGGAAGAGACAGATTATTACTAGATTATGCACAACATTTTGTTAATACAGGAGAAAGACCACAAAACTTTATTAGGGATACAGAACCAGATAAAAGATTCAATGCTTACTTCAGGCAAGAAAAAGGGTTTAGGGTTTAGGGTTTAGGGTTTAGGGTTTAGGGTTTTAAGGGTTTTAAGGATTTTTAGGGTTTAGGGTTTTAGGGTTTTAGGGGCTACGGTTGGGGGTTTTAGGGTCTGGGGTTGAGGGGTTTTGTTAGGAGGGAGTTGCTGAGGATTTAGGGTTTACTATTTGAGGGTTTAGGGTTTAGGGTTTAGGGTTTAGGGTTTATGTGTGTACAGGTTAAAAGAATTGATGGAGTTGAAGAGACAGGTCATATGGGCAAGGGCTACACCTGCCCAATATATCCGAGTAGGCTAGGGTTTAGGGTTTAGGGTTTAGGGTTTAGGGCTCTATTTTTCTCTTCTTGCTCCAGATGCATGCATGCATGCATGCATGTACACATACATACATATACATATACATATTCATATACATATTCATACGTACGTATACAGGCATATTTACATCTTGTTGCTTGGAGTATATTTCCTTGTTTATTTTATGTACTATTAGTCCATGTATATGTATATGAATAATGTATATGAATATGTATATATGAATGTATACGTACATATACATATACAGATACATATACATATGCATATACATATACATATACATATACATATACATATACATATACATATACATATACATATACATATACATATACATATACATATACATATAAAAATACATATAAATTTGTATTTTTACGTATATATACGTATACGTATATGTACGTATATACAGGCCGACCTACGTCGCTTTGATTGGAGTATATTCCCTTGTTTATTTGATGTAATATTAGTGTATACATATCCATATACATATACATATACATATACATATACATATACATATACATATACATATACATATACATATACATATACATATACATATACATATAAATTTGTATTTTTACGTACGTATATACAGGCTGATTTACGTCGCTTTGATTGGAGTATATTTCCTTGTTTATTTGATGTAATATTAGTAGATCCTCCTTGGGCAGAATATGCAGAAAGATGTGTTGGGGCTAAACAACCATCAGAGGATCTTACTCCTTGGTCCCTACAAGATATTATGCAGGTAATCTATTTATTTATTTATTTATTTATTTATTTATATACATGTATGCATGCATGCAGCAACAGCAGCAGCAACAGCAGCAGCAGCAGCAGTGGGAGTAGTTAGGGATACAGACAGTATAGAGGCAAAACAAACGGCAATTAGATGCTTTTTCTTCTTCTTGTGTCTCTTGTTGAGTATTATCTATGCATGCATGGATGCATGCATGGGTGCATGCATGAATAACACTGCATGCATGCACACTAATACATGGATGCATGCATGCATGCATCCATGTGTGTATATTCAGCTACCAATAGATAAGATAGCAGAGAATCAATCCTTTTGTTTATCTATGCATGCATGGATGCATGGATGCATGCATGAATAACACTGCATGCATGCACACTAATACATGGATGGATGGATGCATGCATGCATGCATGTGTGTATATTCAGCTACCAATAGATAAGATAGCAGAGAATCAATCCTTTTGTTTTTTATGGTGTGGTGTTAAACATCTAGAGGAGGCAAGAGATGTTCTTACCAAGGTATTCCTCTCTCTCCTTTATTACTGTCTCCTTTCTTATTGTCTCTTTCCTTTCTTATTGTCTGTCTCCTTTCTTATTGTCTGTCTCCTTTCTTATTGTCTTCTTTCTTATTGTCTCTCTCCTTTCTTGCTGTCTGTCTCCTTTCTTGCTGTCTGTCTCCTTTCTTATTGTCTGTCTCCTTTCTTATTGTCTCCTTTCTTATTGTCTGTCTCCTTTCTTATTGTCTCCTTGCTTATTGTCTGTCTCCTTTCTTATTGTCTCCTTTCTTATTGTCTCCTTTCTTATTGTCTCCTTTCTTACTGTCTGTCTCCTTTCTTACTGTCTCCTCTATTACTGTCTGTCTTCTTTCTTATTGTCTCCTTTATTACTGTCTCCTGTCTTATTGTCTCCTTTCTTATTGTTCCCTTGTATCTGTCTCCTTTTATCTGTCTGTGGATATCTATTTATCTGTGTCTCTCTCTCTCTGTCAACTGTCCCTTTAACTGTCTCTCTATTTATCCCCACCTCCCTCTGTCTCCTTCTTCCTGTGTCCCTTTTGCATGCATGCATGCATGCATGCATGCATGCATGCATGCATGTATATTATTGTGTATATTGTGTGTGTGTGTTTACTTAGTGGGGTTTCCGTCGTTGTGAGGATATATGTTGGGTAAAGACGAATAAGAGTGCTGCTGCTGCTGCATGCAGCAAGAAGCAGGAGACAGCCCCACCGCATGCAGTATTAAGAGATGAATCATCTTATCTTCATAGAACAACAGAGCATTGTCTTGTAGGTATTAAGGGACTCGTAAGAAGAGCCCAGGTAAGAGACAAAGGAGACACAAAAGGGGACAGAAACATAAATATATATATATAAATATATAAGTAGACACATAAAAGGAGACACAAAGGAGACACTTTCCCTTGTCTGTCTTATACTTAGGTAAATAAATAAATACACCAAAAGAGAACTAGAAATCAGGCCAATAGGGTTAGACCAATCATTATGTTCCTCTCTGCATCCTTTGTCTATATATGTATATATATATATATATATATGTCCGTTATTAATGCATAGGATGGTCATTTAATTCACGCAAATATAGATGCAGATGTAATAGTATGCGAAGAACCATTAGATTTTGCGTCTACATATAAACCTATTGAATTATATGATATAATAGAGAGATTCTGTCTAGGAAGAAAAAGGATAGAAATATTCGGCAGAAATAGGAATATAAGAGATGGATGGATAACTATAGGAAATTCTATTACAGAGACAAATTTTCAGCCTAAATTGTAAGGATATTTATTTATTTATTTATTTATTTATTTATTTATTTATTTATTTATTTATTCTTATTATTATTCTTATTTATTTATTCTCCTTTTTCTTATTTTATTATCATCTTTTCTTGTCATTATTTATATATAGCCAATTCTATTACACACACCAATTGTCAAGTGTCTCCTTTTAACATTAATAACTGTCTCCTTTTTATTAGTATATAACTGTCTCCTTTTCTTTCTTGTATGGGGATCTTTTTTGTTCTTTTTTTGGGTATATATATGTTACTATAAGGATGGGTTAGTATAGGGAATGGTATAACGGAGATAAATTATCAATATAAATTGTAAGGAAAGGAGACACTTTAACTGTCTCCTTTTAGTACCAATAAGTGTCTCCTTTTTTTTATTATATGTGTCTCCTTTTTTTTATTATATGTGTCTCCTTTTTATTATTATATGTGTCTCCTTTTTTTTTTATTGTATGGGGATCTTTTTTGGTCATTTTATAGGTGTATATTTGTTGTTATAAGGAGACATTAAGTGTCTCCTTTTTGCTGTTTAGGTGTCTCCTTTTCTCGATCATCTATTGCCTCCTTCCCCTTCCTCCTCTCTCCCTTCATACTGTCTCTTTGCTGCTACTGTCTCCTCTGCTTCTGCTGCTGCTGCTGCTGCTTCTGCTGCTGTCTCCTGTATAGGTATGCGTCTTGGTTCGAAGGAGACACTTCTTACCCCGAGGCGTCTTCTTATGTTGGTGGTCATTACCTTGGATCAACAGAAGAGATAGAAAGTCTTAGGCCTAAGTCTCCTCCAAGGGAGGTCAGGCCTCAGCAGCAGCAGCAGCAGCAGCAGCAACAGCAGCAACAGCAGTAGTGAGAAGGGATAGGATAGGCGGGATGCACCAGCAACAGCTGCTGCTGCAGCAACAGAGACAGTACTCGCCCCTTTCTCTAGGAGACAGTTCTTTTTAGGTGTCTCCTGTCTCCTAACTTGTCCCTAAAGGAGACACCTGTTGTCTCTTATTACTAAACCTGTGCTGTCTCCGCAGCTTATTTAACATACTATAAAATAAATTAACTGCATGCGCATCTAGCTAGATAAATAGATAGGTAATTAGCTAGCTAGCTTGGTAGTTGACAATACTAGTTAGCTACGTAGATAATCAACTAGTTAACTAGCTAGCTAGCTAGCTAGCTAGCTGGCTAGCTAGCTAACTATTGCACAAGATGGCTGACTAGCCGTAGACTTAAATCGGCGTTAGCTGCTGCACCATTGAAGGCAAGACATTGGAAAGCAGCTGCCCGCTGGCTAGCTAGCTAGCTAGCTAGCTAGCCATTTATTTAGCTAGCCAGTTAGCTAGCTAGTTACTTAGCCAGCTAGCTTGTTAGCTATGTATGTATATAGCTAGCTAGCTAGCTGCGGCGGGTATTGTCCCCCTCCTCATGGAGGAGGGCATTGATTATATTAAAAGAAAGGGACAACAGAGAGACAGTCTCTCCGTCTGTAACTAAAGGACAAGTGGCGGCAAGGTGTCTCCTTCCTTTTCCTCATAAGAGGAGCTCGAGGTGTATATATCTGTCTCCTTTTGTGTCTCTTGATGGAGACACCCCGAGGAGACACCTCGGAGGAGACACATCGGAGAGGAGACACCTCGAGGGGACACCTCGAGGAGACACTCGGAGGAGATACTCGGAGGAGACACCTTGAGGAGACACTCGGAGGAGACACCTAGTGGGGACCCTTCGGAGGAGACACCTCGGAGGAGACACCTCGGAGGAGACACTCGAAGGAGACACCTTGTGGAGACACCTCGAGGAGACAGACAGTCTCGTTGGCAAGCAAACAACAAACAAAGAAGAAGGAGACACCTAAGAACAACAAAAGTGTCTCCTTTTTATTAGCGCAAGCCGTCGATACACTCGTAACAAAGAGGAGGCTGTTGTCAAGACAAGACAGGCTGTGCATGCATCGGATGCCAACAAACTGCTTCTGCTGGTTCTACTGCTCCTGCTGCGCTTGCTGCAGCAGCAGCAACAACAACAACAGCAGCAGCAGCAGCAAGTTGGTCTATATATCCCCTCCCTATAGGGGTCTCCGCCACTTTGGGCGGAAGGAAGGGTACCCCTGTGCTGCAGGGGACAATTACTCCCACAGAGGAGACACTAGCTCCTACACAATTCCGCTTGCTGCTGCAGCTGCAGCAACAGCAGCAGCAGCAGTAGCAAAAATAATAATAATGAATTGACACTAATAAATAAATAAACATGTATATCTACGAGCAAATACCCCTGCCTGCTCCTCCCCCTCCCCCCCCATGTTGTTGTTGTTGTTGTTGTTGCTGTTGTTGTTGTTGTTGTTGCTGTTGGAGTAATAATTGTTGTTGTTGCTGCTGCTGCTGTGCAGCAGCAGCAGCAGCAGCAGCAGCAGCTCTAGCAGCAGCACCTCCAGCATATTTTCGACTGAGGTGTAGTGCAAATCCGAAGCAGCCCATAACGTGAGCAATTTTCCACAATTCGGAGACAGTCGCAAAAGGGACTCTGGAGAAGGAGATTTTTTGCTGCTGCAGCAATTGTCCCCATTTAGCTGCATCAGAGTGGTATAATTGACGGAGACGGCGTAATAATTGATTTCTTCCTTCTGTACCAAATGGGAGACGGAAACCTTCATGCCAACGGACACATTCATCACCTGGTGGTGGTATAGATAGGTCTGTCTCCTCTTCTCCTGTTGATCCTGTTGCTCCTGATGGTCCTGATTGTTGTGATGGGGATGGGGATGCATGTGTTGACGGGGGGGGAGCAGGGGATGGTGGTGATTGGTGGGGTTGGTGTTGGGATGGAGATGAGGGAGAGGAGGGAGGGGATTCAGATGATGGTGTTGCACCTGCTGCTGCTGCTGCTGTTGCTGCTGTTGCTGCTGTTGATTGGGTTGAGGAAGAGGAAGTTGATGAAGAACAACAAACAGAAGGAGAGGAACAACAAGAAGAAGAAGGAGCAGCAGCAGCAGCAGCAGCAGCAGAGACACGAAGACCTCCACGAGAAGGAGTAGAACGACGGCGTGTCCCTAATGAGGAGACACTTCGATGAGGAGACACCCCACAAGGAGACAGTTGTTGTTGTAGCATACCACTACCAGTACATACAACACCTTGCTGCTGCTGCTGCTGCTGGTCTTGCTGCTGTACATGCACCTGTTGCTCTTGCTGCTGCTGCTGCTGCTGCTGCTCCCATACACGTCTACGGCAGTTCCTACGACGAGGACGAGATACTTCAGATGAGGAGACACCTCGTGTAGGAGGAGGACTTGAATCCCTTAAGTCACCATCCTGCTGCTGCTGCTGCTGTTGCTGCTGCTGTTGTTGCAGTAATGATGATGCTGCGGTTGTATGAGGTACCATACAATCCATAGACTTTAACGGTTGTTGTTGTTGCTGATGCTGTTGCTGCTGCTGCTGTTGTTGCTGTTGCTGCTGAGCAGCAGCAGCAGCAACAGCAGCAGCAGCAGCAGTAGTAGTATTACTATTATTAGTACCTGGCGGAGTTGGCGTGAATGCCTCGTCCGGTGATGACGGAGAATGTAGCAACAGCATCATCTGTTGCTGTTGCTGCTGTTGCTGCTGTTGCTGTGTAAATCCATGAATACCATCATCCTGTTCTCCTGTTGCTGCAGTACCAGGACCAGGAGGAGCAGCAGCTGCTGCTGCACCTGCTGCAGCAGCAGCAGCAGTAGCAGCAGGAGTACTATTAGTAGGACAATTTGTACCCATATGATTAACATCATCAGTAATATGTTGTGTCCCTTGTTGTACCCCATTCCCTTGTACCCCTTGTTGTACTCCCTGTTGTTGCATTTGTTGAACTCCCTGTTGTTGTACTTGCTGCTGTTGTTGCTGCTGTACTTGCTGTTGCTGTACTTGCTGCTGCTGCTGCTGCTGCTGCTGCTGCTGCTGCTGCTGCTGCTGCTGCTGCTGTTGATGTATAGAGAGGGCCTTAAGCTGCTGGAATTTTTTACACTGTATCTGTCTCCATTCTATAGCGGCATAGAATGCGCCCAATGCTCCCCATCGGCCTGAAGAGAATCTTTTTTTAAATTGATTTCCACGAAAATATACAGAGGCACACCAACGTTTCTGTTGACGCTCTAATTGGATACCTATAACAGCAACAAAAAAATATACAACAACAGCAGCACAAGATAATTAGACAGGAGGAATAAGGAAAGGATATAGGGAAGGAGAGGAGAAAGAGACAAACAGAATAAATGGTTATAAGGGGGGGGGGAGGGTAACAGAGATACACACACAGATATAGAAAGGTCATCAATGCAACAACAGCAACAAATGCAACAACTCCAACAGATACAGTAGCACCAACAACACCACCAACAACAGCAGCAGCAACAGCAGCAGCAACAACAGCAGCAGCAGCAACAGCAGCAGGAATAATAGTAATTACCTGGTAGGTTATCTGGATTAGGATTAGATGGTAAATGTTTACGAATACAATAATCAATAAAGTCAGGTGTTGGGTGCTGAAATAATGTATCTGTTGCTGCATCACGAGGATATACTCCTGCTGCAGCTGCTGCTGCTGCTGCAGCTGCTGCTGTTGCTGCTGCTGCAGCTGCTGATGCTGATGATGTTGTTGTTGTTGTTGCTGCTGCTGCATCAGTGCCACAACAATCATCTTCTCTACTTGTGCTGCAGCTCATTCCTGCTGCTGCTGCATCAACAGCATCCTTACGACGAGGTGTTTTTGCATGACGTTGCAGCTGCTGCTGCTGCTGCTCTTGCTGCTGATGATGTTGTTGCTGCTGCTGTTGGTGTTGGTGCTGCTGCTGTTGTTGCATGCCTTGATGAGGAGATGCAGCAGCAGCAGCAACAGCAGCAGCAGCAGATGAAGATGCACCACCCCCAAACACACCAATACAAGGCGGTAGACCTGCGCAACAATTTACAGTTCCTGCTGCAGTTGCTGCTGCTGCAGCAGCAGCAGCAGCAGCAGGAGACAACAAAGGAGAGTCCCCATTGCATGCAGAATGATGATGATGATGATGGTGATCAGGAGACGGCGCCCAATGATGATGCTGCTGATGTTGTTGCTGCTGATGGTGTTGCTGCTGATGGTGGTGCTGCTGGTGCTGCTGCTGGTGCTGGTGCTGGTGTTGCTGCTGCTGCAATTGATCATCAGCAGCAGCAGAAGGAGACAATAGTCCCTCTGATGAAGAACCTGATAGATCTGTCTCCTCCGTAACAGTAAAGGCAGAGGAGACAGGTAGATGAATAACTGATTTGTCTCCTGTCTCCTCTAGTGTCTCCTCTATCTCCATCTTAGTGTCTCCTTTATATATATTATTTGTCTCCTGTGCTGCTGCTGCTGCTGCTGCTGCAGCAGATGCTGCTGCATCCTGCAGCAACAAATGATGATGCTGCTGCAGATGATGGTTATGATGATGGTGGTGTTGGTGTTGCTGCAGGTATTGCTGCTGCTGCTGCTGCTGCTGCAGATGCAACTGCAGTAGTTGGTGCTGCTGCTGTTGCTGCTGCTGCTGCAGCAGCAACAACTCCTGCTTAGGCCATAATAAAGATCTAGGACTTTGTTCTTCCTGCTGCTGTGTTGCTGCTGCTGCTGCATCTTTTGCTGTCTTGAGCAGCAACTCAATATTTGTACCTAAATCATGTGCTGCAGCAACAGCAGCAAAAGGGGGCCCCTCGTCGCTGCTGCTGCTGCTGCTGCTGCTGTCTGCTGCTATTGCATGCGATAGTCCCCTTAGTCCCCTACAAGGACTATCAAGACCTAAGGAGGTTGTTAGTCTCCTTCTTAGCAGCATAGCAGCAGCAGCAGCATCACTATGCATGCAGCAGCTGCTGCTGCTGCTCGTGGGGCTGCAGCCACTAGAGGAAGGGAGAGAAGAAGTGTCTCCTCCTAGCAGCGGGGGCAGCAGCAGTCTCCTTTTGTCTCCTGCATTAGCAGGACTAGTAGATTGAGTAAATGGGTATTGTGGTGACCCCACAGGTGCTGCTGCTGCTGCTGCTGCACCCGTTGCTGCTCCACCTGCTGCTGCTCCACCTGCTGCTGCTGCACCTGCTGCTGCTGCCGCACTACCACCTAGGGGGGCCCCCGGGGGCCCCAAGGGTAACACCAAGGAAGCAGCAGGACTAGGGGACTCGCATAGTAATGCATCTGCTGTTGATGATATGCTGCAGGGGGATCGTCCTTGTAAATCTTCTCCTGATGGACCAGCAGCAGCAGCAGCAGCAGCAGCAGCAGCAGCAGAACCTTCTGCTGCTACTGATGCTCCTGCTACACCCGGAAGCCACATGACCTGAGGAGAATAATTATTCTATAATATAGAGGCAGCTAGCTGCTGCTGCTGCTGCTGCTGCTGCTGTTACTGGTACTGCTGCTGCTACTGTTACTGTTACTATTACTCCTGCTGCTGCTGTTGCTGCTGCTGTTGCTGCTGTAGGGACAACAAAGGAACAGCAGCAGCAAGGAAGTGCGGACAAAAGAAAGGGAGAGGAAGAAGAGACAAGGAGACAGCAGAGAAGGGACAGTAGCAGCAACAACAAGTAACAGAAGGTGCTGCTGCTGCTGCTGCTGCTGTTGCTGCTGCGGCGGCGGCGGCTACTTCTGTTGCTGTTGTTGCTGCTACTGTTGCTGCTGCTGCTGCTGCTGTCGACTTCTTCTTCTTGTCCTTCTGTTGCTGCTACTACTACTACTACTACTAATACTAATACTACTGCTGCTGCTGCATCTACTACTACTGCTGCTGCTGCTGTTGCTGCTGCAACTGCCTGTGCAGTTGCTGCTACACGTACAACTACTGCTGCTGCTGCCGCTGTTGCGGCTCCTGCTGCTGCAGCTGCAGCAGCTCCTGCTCCTCCTATGGAGCTGCTGCTGCTGCTGGATCTCCTGTTGCTGTTGGAGTGTGTGCTGCAGACTGTGCTGCTGCTGTTGCTGTTGCTGCTGCTGTTGCTACTGCTGGGGCTAAAGAGGAGAGGGAATACCCCCCCCCAAGAAGAAGGAAAGAAGAAAAGGAGTGGCGATTGTCTCCTCGTAAGCGGCGAAACCTAAACCCTAAACCCTAAACCCTAAACCCTAAAAAGTATAAGCAAGAGCAACAGGAAGAGGCGGAGGCGGAGGAGCAGCAGCAGCAACAGCCCTCTCGAGACAGCACAGCACAGCTGCTGCTGCTGCTGCTGCTGCCTGTGTGTGACTGCGTTGCTGCTGGGGTGCGGTTGCTGCAGCAGCAGACGCAGCAGCAGCAGGGGTGTTATGTATTATTAGCCTTCGGGGTGTATAGGCACCATAAATAGGCGTAAAAAAGCCCCAATTTAAATGCATGCATTGATAAAAAAGGGATAAAAATAAAAAAGAATAAAGGACAAAAGATAAAAAGAAAAAAAAACATAAAAAGAAGAAAGAATAAACCCCTCCTTATAACAACACACTGCTGCTGCTGCTGCACATCTACTACTGCTGCTGCTGGCCTTCGTCATTCGGGTGTATACGCAGCTCATGATACTCCCCTTCTTCCTTTTTTCTCCTTATAAATACATGAAATATTCTTTTTTATTAGTTTATTTATTTTTATTTATTTATTTCTTCTTTTATTCGCCATAAATAGCAGCAAATATACACCCTATTCGTATACACCTGAGGGGTACGACCTCTGCTGCTGTGGGGGGAGGGAGGGGTGGCGGTGGGGGGTTAGCTGCCTATACACCCGAGCTTTTTATCCTTTTATTTACCATTAAATATTATTATTATGTATTTATTTATTTATTTTTTTATTTATTTTATTCTTTTATCTCCTTTTATCCCCCTTTTGTCCCCCTTATACCCATAAACAATGCCCTATAACAACACACCCCACCCCCCACCCCTCGTTGCGTACTGCAAGGCATCTGCTGCTGCTGCTGCTGCTGCCGCTGCTGCTGCTGTTGCACATGTACCAAGGCTCTTCCTCCTGCTGCCTGCTGCTGCACAGCCACTCGATGCTACAATATACACACTCTCCTGCTGCTGCTGTTGCTGTTGCTGCTGTTAGGTGTCTCCTGTCCCTTTTTCTTATTCCTTATTAACATATAGGGGGGCCCCAAGGGAAAAGGTATAAGGGGGCCCCCTTTCCTTCTTTACTTCTTTGCATGCATTTGAAGTGCATGCAAGAGGTAGTGCTGCTGCTGCTGCTGCTGTTGCTGCTGCTTCGAGTGAATCGACAGTGACTAGCTGCAGCAGCAACGGGGTCGCCCCTGTAAACTGTTGCTGCTGCCGTTGCTGTTGCTGCTGTTGCTGCTGCTGCTGTTAGTGTTGCTGCTGTCTTACAATGCTGCTATATAGGGTTGCCTAAGGACGATCTAATGTATAGGAGACACTGTCTCCTTGTTATCTGTCCCCTAGTGTCTCCCTGTACAGTTCCTTACACTGTCTCCTCTTGTCCCTTTGCTGCTGTTGCCCGCTGCTGCTGCTGCTGCTGCTAGAAGAAGAAGAAGAGTCTCCTTTGCTGCAGCAACAAGGAAGGCTGCTGCAGGGGGAGACAAAAGGAGACAGGTACTGTCCCTTGGAGGCACCCCCTAGCATCGTCGAGTGTCTCCTTTCCCCATAGATGTACAAAGCTGCAGCAGCAGCAACAGCAGCAGCAGCAACAGCAGCAGCAGCAACTGCTGCTGCTGCTGTTGTTATTGCTGTATATAATATGGAGACTGTTACTAGAGCATGCATGCATGCAGGTGTCTCTTCCCCTTCGAGCTATGGGGGGCCCCTCCTGAGGAGACAGTAGGGGGCCCCCAAGAGACACTTATGGGGAGTCAGAGTGTCTCCTTTCTGCAGCAGCAAGCAGCAGCAAGCAGCAGCAAAAGGAATAGTATTAAATATGTTGTTAATAAACAAAAAAGGGAGACAATATATCTATACTGTCCCTCTGCCGTGTATCTACAGCAGCAAGGGGACAGTTAAGAGACAGCGCAAGACAGAGAGACAGTTGCTGCTACTGCTGCTGCATGCATGCATGCACTGCAGTGTATCGATGGCTAACAGAGGAAAGAGGGGAGGGGACAGCAGCTGCCCAGTAGGGGGGGCCCTCAAGGAGGTCCCCACTACTACGATAGAGGGGCCCCTTAGGGGCCCACCTTAGGGGGCCTCATAGGGGGGCCCCCCTAAGGGGTCTTTTGATTTATAGGGACAAGAAAGAGACAAAAAAGGGTACATAAGTGTCTCCTTTTGTTAATTATAAGGGGAGAGGAGACAGCAAGAGAGGAAAGAGAAGGGAATAAATAAGTGTCTCCTTTTGTTAATAAGAGACATATTAAGGAGACAAAAAGGAGACAATTGTCTCCTTATAAGGGTAATACTTAATAGCAGCAAAAGGAGACACAAAAAAAGACAATAATATTTATTAATAGATACAGGTAGGTACCTGTCTCCTTTTTATATAAGTGTCTCCTTTTTATATAAGTGTCTCCTTCTTGCAACAACAAACAAAAAAGGAGACAGAAGACTCTTATTCAGAGAAGCAGCAGCAACAACAACAGCAACAGCAGCAGCAGCAACAGCAGCAGCAACAGCAGCAGCAGCAGCAGCAAGTGATCTTGGCTGTTCGCTTAGTCTCTAAAAGTCCTTATAAGGCGTTGCAGCAATTAAACCCTATAGAAAAGGAGACACTTTGCTGCTGCTGCTGCTGCTACTGCTGCTGCTGCTGCTACTGCTGCTACTGTTACTACTGTTGCTACTGCTGCTGCTGCTGCTGCTGCTGCTGCCTACAAAGGAGACAGGTCGAGGTGTCGGTGCAGCAAAAGATGTAAGGAAGGGGTAATTAAAAAGAAGTGTCTCCTTATTTACTGTTACTGTCTCCTTTTTTGTATGCATATACATAATATACATATAATATATATATATAT